TAAAAAATGAGAGGGTACCTGTGATATAAAATTCAAATGAAGAGAGGTAGCCTGTGCCGCTGCAAAGTCGAAAGTAGGGTGGTTTTATGAATTTTACATTTATTTTTGACAATATACTACCATTTGTCCGAAGATGATATGTATATGAACATATTAAATATGTATGATGCATATATAATCAAGCCACAGGTTAATTTTAGCCCTAAATATATGTCGAGGTGATGGGCTAGACAAGACATGTCGACTTTTTGTAGCTTATTGTGAAGTTGCAGTGCATGAAAAACGGGCACATGACAAATCAGCACATAAATAAAACATTCTAGTGTTCCGTGATATACATCTCTTCTACGTGTCATACCTCGTTTCCTTATTACAATGAAATTTTACTGAATTGTAATCCATCGCTGGTTTGTTTTTAGCAGAGAATAACCTGTGCATGTACAAAGAGGGTACCGTTTGGGCAGATTTCGCAAAGAGGGTATCGGTATGGATATGCACCGTGATGTCAATCCATTTAGTTTTATTTGCTACAAAATGCCTAATTTTTCACATTTTTATAGGCATGCGTGATATTTCAATGGAGTATATAGGAGCTGCTTAATTCTGTTATCTATGTCTCTGTTTGATGTATGGTGGCTGATTTTTGCCATGTCGTATTTTCGCTCCACAAGGTGCCAAACTAAGGAGGCAGTACACAGTTTCGGTCGTTTAGTTTCGAATTGGCCAGGGTCAAATATACAAATAAGAGACAGACAATTTTGAAATTAAAGTGGATATATAAGCTTCTTAATTTTTAAAGGTACTTGATGTTGATATATTTTTTATAGTTTTCAAAAAGGTGTAATTCGCTATTTTTGTCATTAATGTTCGCGACAAAAACAATGAAAAACACAAGGCTATGTGCCAGAAAACTAGAATGTGGACTTGTATTTTAACTGTTTGTTTTTATATAAATATGTATGTGTTAATTATGAAATGCATTTATTTCAGGAGTGTGATTACAGACTTGTGTGTCAGGTTTTCATTGTTACTCAGTCATATTGCGCCTTTATGACTTATGTATGAATGACCTTTACACAATCACATTTCCGCACAAACTGATATACTAGTACTTATTATGAATATGCATTCAGGTGTGATTAACTGATTCAGACTAATCTTTGTGGAAGTAAATTCAAAGCTGAAAGGCAACGCAACGTTTCCAAATAAAAACTCGTGATAACACCATCTTTCACTTATGTTAAACATGTTTTAGTTGTTTTCCTATTGTTACAAATATTCATTAAGTGACAGAACACTTCTGTTTTCATTCTACCTTTTTTATGGAAAAAGCACAGTACCGGTATCAAATAATGGCTCTTTAGACCGGTATATTAAATAAAGCTCTTCAAACATGTGTTCTTATTTGATATTTTATTCTGAAAGAAAAATAATAAATGAAACTATTTGATGAACATTATTTAGAAACGTGAATAGGTAGGTAGGTAGATGTTAGGCGAGGGTGATGTTTTATTTAGGCAGGTATCCACATATATCACTAAAACACCCAAACCCTTCTCCTGCCGAGTAAGACTATTTTAAAATAAACAAGAATCTGTGTTTGATAAACACAAATGCCCCCGCGCTCATTGTTGTCAATAATTTAACTTTAGAGAGTGAAGTAGCTAATTTGTAATTTTTAGCACTGGTGACCTTGACCCAACTGACCCCTACCTCCATCCAAATTAGAATACCTCAATTTCATGTTCCTACAAAATATACAAGACATCTGTCGATAGAATAAGGTTAATACACATGTAAAAGTGTAAAAAATCTATTTTTGACATTGGTGACCTTGACCTTAATATGACCTCTTACTAAAGGAAAAGGAAGAGGACCTCCCTTGGTATGACTATTATGAACACGAAAGACATTAACTTAAAAATAAAGGCTGTATGAGCAGAAATGTTTAGATTTATGTTTTTACACAAGTGACCTTGACCTAGAGACGCCTAACGCCACAAAAATTAGAGGACCGTTAAAGGTATCCACCTACCAAATATGAAAGATATCATTAAATAAATTAAGTAATTAGGTGAAGTTTTTTGATAAATCCAACTTGGCGGAATAGGTTAACCATACAAGGCCCTATTTTCAAAGTGATAAAAAGGGAACTTACTGGGAAAATGGATGGCACATTTATATAACTTGGCAATATCATGTACATTGTATTGATAAGTAAGTGTGAAAATTATTAAGCCATTAGTTCAGATAGAACATAAGATATTTCCAACTTGCCGGTTTAGGTTAACAATTATTTATTTTTTAAGTGCTAAAAAGGGCCATAACTTGGTGCAAATGGAAGCCATAGTTATGTAACTTGCCCAGATCATATACTTTGTATGTATTAGTAAGTGTGTAAATTATGAAGCCATTGGTACAGGTAGAACTTAAGAAAAATCCAACTTGCCGTTCTAGGTTAACCTCGTACGGACAGACGGACGGACAGACGGACGGACGGATGGTTCAATTACTATAAGCCCGGGGGCATAATCATGCTATTTCATATGGAACGTCGAAATAAGATTCCCTTTGGGGTACCCCTTCACAGCAAAATGACGTCACCGGTAGATGTAGATCTAAAGTATTTGCTTTCGTAGCTAACGAATGTGAACAAGAGAAAAGGAGTAGTTTGTTGACACCTTTTTATAATTAACATCAAGCTTTGACGAGGCCATATTTGTTTTAAATACCGATGAGAATATTTACCATTAATCTATTTAGGTAAATATTTTTTTATTTGACAATTAAATTTTGCTTGTATATCGAAATTAACACAGCGCAACATCAAACCGTACACGCATCGTCACAGCGCATGTTGTTTTACAACGTGGGGTACCCAAAGGGGAATTTTAATGTGCATATTACCTGTCTAATATCGCAGATGGCCGTGAAGTGTGCGGGGTAACGGGCTAGCAGTCTAGCGGGCTAACAGTGTGAACTGGGCGGGCTATAGTCTAGCGGTCTAGCAGTGTGAACTGGGCGGGCTGGCGGTCAGCGGGTTAAACTTTAATACTTAATTGAATGAATCCACATTAAAACCTCAGGATACATTTCCTAGCAGTGTGAATAAGGCGGGCCTATCCCGCTACACTGTCAGCCGCCCAGTTCACACTGTTCGGAAATGTATCATAACGTTTTCATGTTGAATCACTTAATTTTAACAGTTAAGCCCCGCTGGCCCGCCAGCCCGCCCATTTCACACTGCTATCCCGCTACACTGTTAGCCCGCCCACTTCACACTGCTAGGAAATGTATCATAACGTTTTAATGTTGATTCAATTAAGTATTAAAGTTAAGCCCGCTGGCCCGCAAGCCCGCCCAGTTCACACTGCTAGCCCGCTACACTGTTAGCCCGCCCACTTCACACTGCTAGGAAATGTTTCATAACGTTTTCATGTTGATTCAATTAAGTATTAAAGTTTAGCCCGCTGGCCCGCCAGCCCGCCCAGTTCACACTGCCAGCCCGCTACACTGTCAGCCCGCCCACTTCACACTGCCAGGAAATGTATCATGAGGTTTTAATGTGGATTCAATTAAATATTAAATTTTATCCCGCTGACCCGCCAGCCCGCCCAGTTCACACCGCTATCCCGCTACACTGTTAGCGCGCCCACTTCACACTGCTAGGAAATGTTTCATAACGCTTTCATGTTGGTTCAATTAAGTATTAAACTTTATCCCGCTGGCCCGCCAACCCGCTCAGTTCACACTGCTATCCCGCTACACTGTTAGCCCGCCCACTTCACACTGCTAGGATATGTATCATAACGTTTTCATGTTGAATCAGTTAAGTTTTAGAGTCTAATCCGCTGGCCCGCCAGCACGCCTAGTTCACACTGCAAGACCGCTAGACTGCTAGCCCGCCCAGTTCACACTGTTAGGTCGCTAGACTGCTATCCCGCCCAGTCCACACTGTTATCCCGCTAGACTGCTATCCCGCTCAGTTCACACTGTTAGCCCGCTGGACTGCTAGCCCGTTACCCCGCGTACTTCACGGCCATAATATCGCAGTGCAATTTTACTAAGTGACATTTCAAATTCTCATGTAGCAGTATTTAAAAAGATGAGTTTGATTCCTATGTGGTAAATGTTTATATAGAGAGAATTCCAGTTGATGCTTAATAATTACATTTAGTAATTGTTGATGATTATTTATTTCATACTTTGACTTAGTCGTCCTCGTTATATTTCACTTAATTTGTCACAGTAGCAAACTCTGTCATTTCTATTACCGTTGGTTTGTTTGTATTGACTATAGTCATTGTGATATGGATAAATGTAACCGTTTGGCGATAGGTCTTGGCGATAAATCGTATTTTATCTAATTTAATTTGAATAAATATAATTTAATAAATTCAATTTTATTTCAATTCAGTTTAACTTAAAAGCTTTACACGTATTTCAAATCTACTTCTTAAGAGAATCAATGCAGTATTTTGAATACATATATGCATAAAAGAGTACAACTTAATAATCGCAATTAGCAGGATGACAATTAAACCGTTTAATGATAAATCGTTTCTAATTCAATTCAATTCAATTTCACTTAAAAGCTTTCCAACTATTTTTAATGTCCTTCTTAAATATAATCGATGCAGTATTATGAATACATGTGCATGTTTGACCTATCAGATAACAACTTAATTATCGCAGAGGAGCGGTGGTCTAATGATTAAGGTGTCTGCCTCTCAACCCAGGGATCATGGGTTCGAGCCCTAATCGGGTCACAACCATGTTTCTTCATATGACACCAGTACTGCTTGGTTCCAGGAATCGGATTTGAAAGTGATTAATATAAGTTGCATAGAACTTGTTTCGCAATCGAACTTAAATAAATATGTTTAAACCAATTATCGCAATTAACAGGATGACAACCGGATGTTGAATAGGAGATGATACGAGACAAGAAACCGCCTAATCATATATAAGACATACCAAAAAAATTAAATGATAATCAATTCAACTGCAATTATTTATTATCATCTAAAATTGTTACACAAATCTAAAGACTTTTTTTACACATGGTTTGTCGTTACAGTCATCATATTAATGCTTTCTAGAAAACGGCGAATTACAGTGCATTTATTAACGCTCCTGCGAAGCCAGTGTGTTTTACAACACCAATCCCATCGTGAGATTTTGCACCACCAATAATTCCTCTTCCCTCTATCCACACGTCATCACCAGCGTTAAGTTTAGCCACAGTCGTAACACCTGCCATATCCCAACCTTTGTTGTAACCAGCCCATGCATATTCGATAGTTTCGTCATTTTTCTTCAGATGAATCACTCCCTGTTTACCTACATTCCCGATCGTGATTGAAAAGAGGTACATCCCATCACACGGAGCAGTAAACACGCCATGGAATGGGTGGAACGCTTTACCATTATTAAGTTCAACACTGTCATAAACAATCTTTTGTCCAAGTGTGACAGATCCAAGGCTCTTCGTCAGTTGGGCTCAAAATGCTACATTCTTGCATTTTTCATTCGCGCTGCTATATTCTGTTAAAGAAAGTATCAGGTTAATCATTTACTTTGTGAAAAGTTCAGAGTAAGTTTAATCAAAACGAAAGCCGTTTCAATTTACGTCTCTTATAATTGTGCAGCTTTCTTTTCAATAGTAAGTGTATATGATTATTGATGATTTGATTGATACTTAAACATTTTTGAGCTACTTGCATCGTTTAAGTTATTTATATGATGACCTTTATAATTTTCCTACGTTTTCAAACAAACTATAATAACTTTATTGTTGAATCGATAACAAACTTACCCTTTAGGTTAGTCTTAAGGTTTTTAACTTCTTCCTCAAGTTCGATAAACTTTTTTAGGATGTTGTAATCTTCCCCACATCTACTGTGAATTGGTTCTTCAAGTGAAGAAACATGAATTAAACATCCAAATATGACAAGTGTCCCCCAGTAAAACATCTTGAACTGTACGAAATGTAATATTATGTATCAATTGAAGTTACTTGTAAGCAAATTGTCGTCCGACTAAACAGTCCTGTGGATATTTCACAAGTTATGTATATCCGAAAAAGTTTAAAGAAGGTGACAATGACTTTGCAAGTTGCCACTATATCTCCCTTTTAAATCTGTTAATTATTTTCCTCCTTTAAACAATGTGTTGTGTTCTTTTTCAATATTACAAAGCCAAAAAAAAATGATAATAATGAAAAAAATAATAATTAGTTAATTGACACTACAAAAGATCTCCTTTTGTTGATTAAACAAACAAAGTCGTTAGATGAGATGTTTTGAATGTTACAATAAGCCACAGTGTCCAAACCCTTAAACAAATTATTATTTAGGCCGCTCAAAATATAATATTTATTTCTTTGACTAATGTTAGATATATTTTATCTCTCTAAACTTTATTCTGTAGAACTCCTTTTTATTTTTTATATTGAATTATATATTTATGGTATGTCGTATGTTATATTTAGCCCGCTGAAGTATTTTGTTTAAATTGTGGCAATACATATGCGAAATATCTTAAAGGCGCTCTCTATGGTGTTCCGTTTGGGACATTGCTTATAAATAAAGTAAACCTCGAATGCGGAAACACAAAACTACGAGGACGAAAACTTTCGTTGTTTCGTCTTGGTACTTTTGAGATTTCGACTGATCGTTGTTTCTTCAATTACAATAAGGATTTGATATGGATTTTGACTCTCAGAAATGAAAACAAGGCTATGTGGGGATTAGTATGGATTTGATATGAACTTTTTGGACTCTGGAAATGTAAACACGAGGCTATATGGGGTGTGATGTGAATTTGAAATAGACTTTTTGGACTCTGGAAATGAAAATGAGGCTAAATACCCACGGAGTGATATACAAAATGTAAAGATAGATATACTATTTTGAAAATTCCCATTTTCTTTCAGATAGAGCAGGCCTATGCTTTTTATAGTTAATGTTATAATTAATGCTTATAAACCTCGCTGAACTTTAACTAAAATATATCGGATGAATTTTAAAGAGTAAAATTGAGGAAAAATTGTTAAATACAATTATTCTCTGATACTGACATAATGCACTGCCAGACTTCTAAAATTATTATTTTTAGGGACCTAAATGATCGCGTATGGTGTGGTTTTGATGCTATAGATTATTGTAACACTGAAACAGTTGATCTGTTGTGTTTGTTTTATGGTCATACAGATCGTTTTAAAAGCTATATTTTCCTTGATTATATCTCATGTTTAGGTATGTTGAACAAAAAATTGTTGAAAACATCTTGATTAAAATAAAGATATATGGCTGTGTTTTGTTTTTCTAATGGTAAATACGTTTTAAAGCAATATTTTCCTTGATTTGATCTTATGTCATCCTAGGTAAGCCAGGCTATTTACCGTATACATGTATTAAATGTAGAATATATGGAATGTGTACCGTGTTTTCAGACGATGATCTCATGTCTAGGTATATTGAAAAAGAAAAAAAGAGAGAAAGAAACAAGTTTAAAAAAAAGTGAAAATCGCCAGAAGGCCCGCATGTGTAACCGCACAAATAGATTATTATACTGGGCTAAAATTTTTCCGGGTCTCCTAGATAGGTAAATAACTTTTAAATAATTTAATCAACAAGGCAATCTTCCACGGTCAGTCTTCCATGCAAAATACGACACTTTGCCTTATTGTGCCCAAGGGACTGTCGTGATGTGAATGTTACTTGTGTTTTTTTTCGACAACAGTGACTTCCGAGGTGAGCAGTCGTCGGGACCGACGTATCCTCATATAATCGTCTACTTCCGATTGTCCCCGCAGACCTACACAGGGCTAGCTGAAGTCCGTGTTCCGGGCTTTACAGGCTGTGCCAGGTAGATGAAAGGTAATAGACATGTTGCAAAGAAGACCCTGATTTGGCTATATTCCAATAATTGTAAAATGTCAAAATATTTTACTTTATGACAACTGTATCTCCGGCAATGACGCGCTAGCCAGAAAAACAAAGAAATCAAGGCTACATAAGATGAAAAAAAAATCCGACAGCAGATTGCAGAATATAATTATGTGTCGTGCATTGTGTGTCCGGGTGTCCGCGGGTATAGGTGTGTCCGTCGGGAATACTCTGGTATTTTGCCGACGTTGAGCCGAAAATCGTTCTATACAGCTCATATCTGGCCAATTCCGGCTGGCCACTGAAGGGACCAGACTCAATTACGCAGAACCGCACATTATGGGAATGGTTAGGGGGTCTGACCGGGTATCCGCGGGTAAAGGTGTGTCCGTCGGGAATACTCTGGTATTTTGCCGACGTTGAGCCGAAAATCGTTCTATACAGCTCATATCTGGCCAATTCTGCTGGCTCCTGCGGGGACCAGACTCAATTACGCAGAACCGCACATGGTGGGATGGTTAGGGGGTCTGACTGGGTGTCCGCGGGTATAGGTGTGTCCGTCGGGAATACTCTGGTATTATGCCGACGTTGAGCCGAAAATCGTTCTATACATCTCATATCTGGCCAATTCTGCTGGCTCCTGCGGGGACCAGACTCAATTACGCAGAACCGCACATGGTGGGATGGTTAGGGGGTCTGACTGGGTGTCCGCGGGTATAGGTGTGTCCGTCGGGAATACTCTGGTGTTTTGCCGACGTTGAGCCGAAAATCGTTCTATACAGCTCATATCTGGCCAATTCCGGCTGGCCCCTGTGGAGACCTGACTCAATTACGCAGAACCGCACATGGTGGGATGGTTAGGGGGTCTTACTGGGTATTCGCGGGTATAGGTGTGTCCGTCGGGAATACTCTGGTATTATGCCGACGTTGAGCCGAAAATCGTTCTATACTCTCTCATATCTGGCCAATTCTGCGATTGGCAATTCTGCTGGCCTCCTGCGGGGACCAGACTCAATTACGCAGAACCGCACGGTATAGGTGTGTCCGTCGAAATACTCTGGTATGGTGTCCTGTGGGGATGGTCAATTAGAACGCAATGGTGGATGGTTAGGGGGTCTGACTGGGTGTCCGCGGTAAAGGTGTGTCCGTCGGGAATACTCTGGTATTTTGCCGACGTTGAGCCGAAAATCGTTCTATACAGCTCATATCTGGCCAATTCCGGCTGGCCCCTGTGGGGACCAGACTCAATTACGCAGAACCGCACATTGTGCGATATTTATGGGATCTGACCGGGTGTCTACGGGTATAGGTGTGTCCGTCGGGAATACTCTGGTATCCTGCCTCCTTATATACTTATATTTTTTCATTACTGTAATATTTCTACCTTTTACCATTTTTGTTCAATTCTGAAAATTTGACCTTGATTAAATAGAAATTTCCTCAAACATATTTGCAAAAAATTTTATTACGATGAGTTTTCCCGTATATTTTATCATTTATTTGTAAATTGAAACGCGATTCTAAGCACTTTAACTTGAAATATAGCATATTAAGATATATAGAAGCTCAACTATCTTATATAATTTCAAATTTGATTTCTGGCCAGTTCGAAACTAATACTCTAAAACTAAATTGAAACTGAATTGCAAATGGTAATAATATTTAAAGGGAGTCAACTTTGTAAATAGGATATTTATCAAAGCTGAGGCAGTTTATCGCGGTTGTTCATGATATGAAATATGAGCATTCCCCCAATGTCCAGTACAAGTTAAATTTATATAACGTATGAATCAGAATAGAACAATGTTTGACTGAAAGCTAGGCAACGTCTCTAGGAATATTTTTATTATTTATACTTGTCCTTGTTCAATACTGCCACCTATCCGAAGCAAATTATATTGTCATACAGTAGTTTCTCTGTTCTTAAGACTCATCCTGGAATCTAAGACCATCCCGCGTTATTAGGACATTTTTATAAAGAGAACGTCGTATTTTTCTGTTCTTTATATCAATGGTTATACATGATTTAAGAATTATCAGACCACCCTGCTTATTCCATCTTTTAAAACCTACCAGAATTCAGTCCTCAAATTTATTTATTTTAGATATTTTGTTAAACCCGATCTATTGAGGTCTGACTGATTGGTAAAACGCAAACGACCTACGCTGTTAAAAAAATCAACAAATTTTTCTGTTTGAAGTGCTCTTCTTTGGCATGACAATTGTTTAGCAATTTTGTTCTGGGTTATTATATGAAAATAAGGTTTGAAAAAGTAAATTTTTTTTTTCGTCACTGTGGTTTTTTAATTTTGCTTTTGCACACATTAATATGAGGTTAAAGAATTCCCATTTCTTATATGATAAGTTGAATTATGCACACTCATATTATAATTAATTTTTTAAATAAGACAATTGGAATTTTAATACAGTAGAAATCTTACTTAAACCCACCGGGAATTAAAGAACCAAAAACCCGCTATTAAGACCATTTTTTATAATAAACGGAATTTTTCTGTTCTTGAGTCAATGGTTACATGATCCAGCATTAAGACCGTTATCCATTTTTAAAGACCACAAATTAGTCCAAATTCTTTGTTTTTGTTTTTTTATTTGACCCCCACTATTGAGACCATGTTTAAGTCAAACCCCAGTAGACCTTGAAATTTGGGTTTTTTTATGTTGTAATCACCTGCTTGAATGTTCTTGGGCTTTCACAATGTGTCAAAAACACCTTATGTTTTGGGGGATACTGAATGAAATAAGGTGAGAAAGAAGATTTTAAAGTGTTTAATGTTGGTTTCAGCATATCGATTTTGCGAATAATTTATTTTTTTATTTGATGGATGAATTTTGTACATCATATACATGTAATAATTAATATTGAAATCAGGCTTAATAGAATTTGATATTTAATTTCTTCAGAAATATCTTCCCATCAGATGTAACATTATAAACTTAACGACATTAACTTTTATATTGTATTTGCAGGTTATGATACATATTGTTTATTCAAACAAAATGACTAAAATAGATCATTGTCATTAAGTGTGTAAGAAATGATAAGAATATTTACAATTAAGAGCATCCCGCAATTAAGACCACTTGGTCCAGTCCCGATGGTGGTCTTAATTGAGGGTTTTTACTGTATAAGCTTTTCTTCAGAAAAAAAGATTGGGCATTGACTGTGCTGATAATAATTTGGCCACATACTTCTTTCATGTAAATGACTTTTAACATACCACTATCTAAAAAGAAGTATTGTCGGATTCATCTCCACGAATTCGTGAAGTTGAAACCGTGA